AAACAGATCCACTTATTAAAGGAGAGAAACCTGATGATCCAAAGCCAGATTTAACCTGGACTCGAGTCGGAAACTGGATGCTCCTTAAATGTCCCATAGCCTTGTCCCACCTTGAAGTGATCAAACGTCTTCTCCTATGGGATAATGCAGAAAGACAGATTAGGGAATCCAGCCGAGTAAAACCACACCCCTACCTGCTCGGCACGGGCCTCATGCTCCCCCCTAAGTGTAATTAGGTGACTCTTTTCTTCATGTCGGGCTGGTTGTCTTTAGCACCGTGAAGGTAGCACATTGCTTGGCTGTTACTTATATCAGTGATTCATAGACCTACAGGACCGCAATTTACCAAAACTAAAAGGAGGTATTGGACATGAGCACAACGCCAAAGGAAGGATGATGCTGCAGTATCACACTTATCAGGTATGTCGGTGTTGTGTTGACAGCAAAACATTGATTTATTTGTCTTTAACATCTGACATGCTTCATTTGCATTTCCTAAACCTGCTCAATTTAGGTACTGATTAAGAAATCCAGAGCATATCTGTGATGGAAGGATCGCCACAGACCCTGACGAGGGCGGAACCAAGGTCTAGCGGCTAATGGCGGTAGCAGCTAACGGCGGTAGCAACGCAAACAATGGCCGCATCGCTGACCCAGTTTACCTTAGAGGAACTCTAAGTGGACGTTGTGCTCCCACCTACAAAGAGCTTCTGTTCTTCTTGTGAGGTCTTGAACTCTGCCCCCCCAGGAAGACGAGTCCAAATGAGCCCAGGCTCCTCCCAAGTGAAACATGAAACATTACAGAGGAGATAATTGCAAACAAACTGATGCAGATTGAAAAAACAAAATGGGATACTCAGGAGCAGGCAGATGGGAGAGCAGGCCTCCGAGTGTTGGGAGTTAAGTGGAAACAGAAACACATGGAGGCCTTGAGAGCAGCGCAACAGAGAGGACTGGACCAGCATATGGAGAGAGGATCACCGGGACCGACGCCAGGAGACACACAGGAAGAGGAAGACTCCTACTTCATGTTCCTCACACACACAGAGGCATCCCAATCAACACCTCCGTCTTCATTAGAGGGACTTCATGTTGGATTTAGGACTGATGAACACACACACATGTTGTCGTTTCACCTCACTGCAGAGAACATACCACACAGAAACACACACACACACACACACACACACACACACAGACAGAACACCACACAAACACACGTTCACAGACAGACACATAAACACACAGAGACACACACCTATCCACACACACGCACAGAGACATAGACAGGGTGATGAGAGGCAGAGGATCACTGTTCATTAGAACAGCAGTTTACAGGGCCTTAGGTAACAGCGTCACCATGGTAACACGTGAGCAGTGTGTCTGGACCCTGTCACTGAGTAATCCATTAATCACAATCGGGTGAATGAAGAGATACAAGTGCGAATGCATTTCTTCCCTTGAATTCTCTCGGAGTAAGTATCATAATCAGGACGTATCGTTGTGAGGCGCTGACTTGTCATCAGGAAGCCGGCTGATCCGTTGACACATCTGGATGACGGATGTCTCTCTCTCGTGACTCACAGCCAGCTGTCTGTGTGTAGCGTTTCCTCCCTCCGGCGCCAACAACAATGTCTCCAATACGGCCGAACCCCCGCCAAGCGCAACGCCAACTCTGTGTCAAAGGGTCACCAGGCTAAGTGGGCTTAATGTGCTAACAAGCATGGCTGGACAGCGGAGTAGCTTCTCTGGGAGGGTAATATGAAATCCATCAATGGGATAACAGAGCTGGGAAAACAACCATCAGGTGAATATTCCAAACACATGGGTGAGGTTCAGGGAAGCCTGGATGAGGAAGCTCAATTCAAGTGGGCTTGAGACTGCAGGACTAGACTGTGTGTGTCGGTCTCCAGGTGATTTAGGGTCGGACCTTAGAGAAAGGCTCAATCACATACAGCTGTTTAACTGCGATGCTGTTGTTTGTGATGCATGTGTGAGAGCAGTGCCCGTGTGACGTGCACAGTGGCTGGGCATTGGAATTACTGGGTGGAAATGGAAAAATCCCAGACTTTGAAAGATGTTTTGTGGGCTCACTTAAACCAAAAGGGTTTGTCAGTCCAGAGGTTGCGCCAAAAGGAGCCAGCGGTGCTGAGTCATGCTTACCACGACTTGATGAACTACTGCTTCTAGTAATACCGTTTGACCTACAAGAGTCAGCTGGCCCAAAGAACAAAAAGCCTCTTTTGTGAGTTCTCATGGCTATCCATTGTGGGTTTGAGGATGTTCACAATGAGTCCTCCTCCAGCTGTCCTTGTTCTCCTTCTTGAAGGCCCTCTTCTTCTTACTCCATTGTCTCTAACCTGGCGTCTGTTGAACACCTTCATGAGATCGCCGTTGTCCTCTATGTGAATAAAATTCTTTATAAAATGTTTTCTTTACGTAATCACGTAACTCACATGAAAATATTTGGAAGGAAACATATACGAGTTAAATGATGAGAGCAGCATTTGTGTTTTCAGATATTGTTCTGCTCTATAATTAGTCCTAAAACCTACGGACATCTTACGTGTTACGTGTTGTAACATCTACCCCGGAACAAAGGAGCATGATGAAGTGATACAGCGTGTACAACAAGGCCTCAGAGACCATGTACGAACAGGTACAACTAATTACTTCGGAATCAAAGTGAAGCCCAACCCCCAAAAACCGACCCCTTTAATCACTGTAAAGCAGAGCAGCGTGAGGAAGATGCATCTTCCATGCTCCTCTCAGCAAATACCCCATATAGGTTGAATAAAACTTACTTACTAGAGGGGAGGAGCTTTCACAAAGCAGGACCGTTGCCATACATTCATAAGGATTAAAAAGAAATGGTGCTGGAGGACTTTGAGTTTTAAACATTTTTTCATTATTTATGTTCTAAAATTGGATTTAATGTACAAATGTCTTCATTCTGGGTTCAGATTTGTATCTGAGCCTTTTCTTTGAATATAGGTGTCTGATACAGAGGGGAGTGCGGGCGGGTGAGCGGGTGTTGGTAGGGCGTGTGTGTGTGTCCCTTAACTCTGCCGATGACAGGAATCCCAGGTGAACCTTGCTTCCATGATCTGGATATGTGTGTGTCTCTGTGTGTTTATGTGTCTGTCTGTGAACGTGTGTTTGTGTGGTGTTCTGTCTGTGCGTGTGTGTGTGTGTGTTTCTGTGTGGTATGTTCTCTGCAGTGAGGTGAAACGACAACATGTGTGTGTGTTCATCAGTCCCAAATCCAACATGAAGTCCCTCTAATGAAGACGGAGGTGTTGATCGGGATGCCTCTGTGTGTGTGAGGAAAGGGTCTCTCCAGTCGGCCCAGATGAATACAAGTTGAGGCTGACCCTTCAGCAAGGCAATGGGCTCAGCATTGTTCCTCAGCAGTGTCTAAACACGTCTCGTAAAGCCTGGATGAAGCCCCGTTGTAGAAATGTCTCTGGCACCATCTCAGACCTTGGCCGAGCTCTTCTGGAGGAGTGATTGGAAACGTCTTTGGATTCTATTTGGGGGCTCAAAGTGTTCATTATTCATTCGCTTGAAGCTCATTTCCACTTCTACTTCTCCGCTGGAAGAAATTCAAGGAATTCATTTGTCAGGCGCTGCTGCATCATAATCCGTCCTGTGATGGGATTGTCACAAGTGTGCATTAACCTTTTCTGCGCAGCCCGGAGACAAATCAACCAGAAGGGTCTTATTGAGTGGGCATCCTCGTCCTCTAATGAAGTTTGCCCTCCCACCCATGCAGAGTCTAAGAGGTTGTCTGATCTGACGGGACCTCATCAGTTACTCAGGAAATCCAAATGGACTTGAAGCCGGGGAGGAAAAAGATCTTTGAAGAAATGTTTTTGTAGAACTTTGAAACTTCTAACTCACCCCCGTTTCCTCCACATCCTGACGGCAGTCAATTAATTAATCCATTATTCCAGGTCTAAATGAGACATACGGGTATATGTATCGATATACAGATCATATAAGTATATAAGTATATGAATGTTGCGGTTTTGTAAGATTTTTCAGACCTCCTGATGGTCAGCATTTCTTCTACTTGAGGCCTTCTGGGAGGTTTCAGCCTGCAGTGACTCCAGCACGCCCACCTGAAAGGCCCCTTCATAAGGCCTCCATTAGCTGACTGTCAGAGCGCTGCAGCTCCACAGTCCTGTCGTCATATGTAGTCAGACCAGGAACTGCAGACGGGAACATGACTCACTTTTCCACTGTAAACACAAAAACCCTCCACAAAAACGCCACGCTCAGCACTTATACTCAGGCCGCACCTCTTGCTTTCCAGATAGACGGAGGAAATTAAAGCTCACCACAATCCATGCAAAGCACAGGATTAAATCGTGATTAGCTTTAAATGGATATAGATGAAAACAGCTGTCGAGAGCGAAGTCATCCTTCTGCTGGGAAACACGTAGGTAATAGCTGGGAAGTGCCACGTCCCACCGACACCTTGCTGCTGTCAATAGGGACTTGATACTAAATTAGGCACTACAATGAGCTGCACATTTAACATTAAAGTGATGAACATATTAATAATGCATCAATAATTGTATTGCATTAGGTTTCTTCAAATATATATTTAGATGCCAGTATTTGTACCAGTATTTCTACACTATGCTATTGCTACTTTTAGAGAACTTTTTCAACATGTGATGACAGTATGAATTATCATTATATTACTACAGATATTATATCAACAAATCATAAACAGAATGCAGAATTACTTTGTGTTTACCATCACCAGTGCTTAGGTGAGTCACATGGCGCTCTTCATGGAGTTCTCCATAATGTCTCACTGTGCTGTGTGCTGCGGTGTGCTAAGAAGACGACTTCCAACATCCCTGAGATGAAGAGTTCATCTCCTAAATGTCACATTTCCATTTCATGGATATGACTGCTGCAGCTGCCAGCTAACCTTCAGAGCGAGGAGCAGAGTGAGGTCTGGAAGGACCAAGCGGGACACGAGAGAAGGAGAAAAGTGTTTTTCTTATGACTTTCAAACATCTCCATGACCCAACAAGTCTTAATACAAACATGTGCCGTTGCTTTAAGTTCCATAAAGAAAGGTACAAAAGGAGTTACTATATATCTATGCGTTGTTATAGGTTAGAAAACAATGCATGATGGCGCAAACACGACAAAGGCTGAGAAATATGAAGATATTGCAAGGTAAGACATAAGTGGCTGAGTTTGGAGGTTAAGGACACATGCTTTGTACAATGAGGCTCTATAGGGATGAGCACGATACATAGGGGGGACACGAATACGACGCTCAGTGGGAATAACCGCTTTTAGTCCACGTCTGATCGGCCACATCCTTCAACGCTCCTGCTAAATGCTATCGTCAGCCGAGCTACGATGCTAGCTGAACATGACATGCCCTGGAGCTTTATATCTGTATGCTTTTTCATTATTACATTTCTTACTGCCAATTTCCAAGGTAAGAAATCAACAATCTCAAACTATTGTTTAGGAATTAGGAAGCTCCGCAAACTAGCTGAACAAAGCTAGCCGTGCACGTTGTCTCTGTTGACTGATGGTCTGCTTAAACACGACCACACAGCGGATCCCTGCCTCTGGGTCGCCGGTGTCCAGCGGGTGCTTTTAGTCTCCCTTGTTACAGGCATTGTGAACATCAGTGAGGTTTCTTTTCTGTACATTACAAAAGCTTGGTATAAGCTACAGAGTGCTTTCTGATGCCTTTAATACTTCTGAAGTTTGCTCATTAAGGTTTAACCATCAGCATGTGATGGACTGTATGCGTTTTTAAAAACAGGGACAATGGGTTCAATATGAAGCAGCCAAAATTGGATATCCTGGACTGAAACATCCTCCACGTTGATATTATGGGTTAATATTAGCAGATATATCAGTAAAAGTGTAGGCTTCCAATATATAACAAGAAATGTCCGTCGATACATTTCAAAGATATTGTCAGATTCAGGTCACTCAAATGCCCACATCACAGTTTTATTTGAAATCTATAATAGATTCAAGCCGTATTCATGTCAATGCTACCAGCCTAACTCACCAACTGCATGTTTAATTGAGGAAATGGTGTTATGAGGATGTCAAGGGGCTGGTAAATATAGTAGAGTCTCACAAATAGTCTTGTGTCTACAGTCAGGTGACGACTCGTTAAAGGTAACTGACCCACTGGAGAGGAGTGATGGGCTGTCTGCCATCCATCAGATAATGTCCTCAACTGTGCTTTGTTGAGCCATTGACATGCAGCTTCTCCGGGTAACAGGTACCACATTTGCACATTTCCAAATTCACCAAAGGGGCCTCAGAGCAGAGCTGGATCTGGACTCTTAACTCACACAGTCAGTCGGCCTCCAGCATCCGGGATGGTCAGGTGACACGGAAAGAAGAGCACAGAGCGTGAGGGAAAGAGCGGCTGGGACTGTACACTGATCACAAAGTGCTCCGGCTGTGGATAAAGCTGCGACATGATAGGAGTTTACAGGATGCTTGGCGGCCAATCAGCAGCTCGCTGGTCATTGGCGGAGGCTGAGGAGAGCACTGCCTCCACGGAACATCATGCCCATCAAACTGTGATGGAAGGCACCTTCTAAAATGGTGGTTGACTCATGACTACATGCAGATTAATGTGTGTCAGACTGCACTGATGACTACTGGCCACGGGACAGTTACAGCACCAGCATGGAGTCACATACATGTGACTGAATGAACATCTTTCAAAAGAGATAACATAAAACATAATGGTGTAAAAAAGGACCTGATTTTTCTGTTGTTTTTTTTAAACCTAGAAAGTAACAGTCTTTTGGTTTCAAAGGAAACTCATTAGTTGTTTTTTTGCATACGAGTAGGCTCAGAGAAATAACAGTGATAAAAAAAATGAAACCAGCAAAGGTTTAGTTAGATAAATAAAAAATATAAAAAGCAAATCATCTCTGTGGTATGATACATGTCGCAGCATCAATCATCTGGAGCTTGTCTTTTGGGGGGGGGGGGGGGCCTTCCTTGACAAACAGGCATCCTCTCCTTGATAGCAGCTGGGACAGTTACTATACGCCATGTTGGCTCAAAGCCTGAAACATGCCATCAATAAATAAACCAGGCTGGCTGATCAGAAGTTCTTGAAGATCTCTAAGTCCTTCTCAGGCACAGGAGGGTCTTTCTTCCAGTCGTCCTCGGGGTAAACGTCAAAGTTGGATGTGTCACCCTCGTGGGACACTTTGGGGACAATGGGAGGCTGTGGAGACATGGGGACATTCAGTTGAATGGTAGCGACTCAATGGAGATGTTCTCTCCGGGTTAGGAGGACTGAAGAGCTACAATTTATGGTTTGATACTTCATTGAGTGATGATTTCATGAAACCCCAGTTGGTCAGTGTCATGATCGTGTTGTACCTTTAGTTTCCTCAGAGGAACACCGTCCCAGTCAATGGTCTTGAACCACCGGTGCTTCTTCACGTCATCCACTCCATTCTGAAACACAAAACGTGGCTGTATGTGGATCCATTTCTTTCATCAAGTCATACATTAATATTACATTTAAGGGTGCATTATTACAAAACAATAACAATGAAATCCATAACAACATAGGACATTTAAAAAAAATTCCTGCTACATTTTAATTTTGTCTGGCCTCGACGAGCAATCTTTTATTTTTAAAACGGACTATTGAGAATCAAAGATCAGTGGGAGCAAGCAGGAGCCAAGAGGCCAGACTCCCGCTAACAAATAACAGCTGGCCAATCAGAGCTCCCACTGCCGCTCTGTGGGCAGCACTTCATTTCAATGTGCTTTCAGGTAAGCGATCCGAGCTCTGTGCGTGCCGATGAGATCTCATGTCTGGTTATGAGAGAACACGCTAAGGGCAGCCAGCTGTGTTGCCGTGGATGGGTTGCACTTAGCTGAAGCATCTGGTAATGACAGTTCATAACTCTGTGGGAGTGTTCATTACTAACCTGATGGACCAATACATAATAATCTGCTGAACATCAGTATGTCTCAAAGTCGACATGATGGGTTTTAGCATTTAGTACAGAGCAGCCACAATTAGTTCACAAAGTTGTTTGGTTTTTCAAAGCGTGTTGGCTCTATGGGTGAAAGTCCTGTGTTTGTTTGACCCACCCACCCCGGCCTCCCCGCTACGAGGACTTGTTCACCACTAGAGCGGTGTTGTGTGGAGGGTCATAGGTCGACGCCAGGGGCCACAGACCAAGTGATGGGTTAAATGAGAACGGGTCGGCCTCGTAAGCCCCACAGATCACTGCTTGGTTTTATTTGATAGTTAAACGATGAAGACATTCAAAAAAATCTTGAGCGTCCACGCATGTTTAGCATGTGAGCGGGGAATCAATCGCATCGTGTCTGAGATCACGTTGAGCTGATTGCCGGCCTTAGAGGAGCATTTGTTTTGTCTCTCACTGAGGCTGATTGAAAGGCTTTGGACGGGAGATCACAAAGCGTGATGGAGCGGCAGGCTTCCACTTTAACGGGATACGTACACACAAATACACTATTGGAAAACCTTCCAAGAGACCTCTAGAAGTGCCAATAAGATTCCTGAGAATGCACACAGTACAATGATGAGCAGTGTAGCTGTGTGTGTGTGTGTTTACGCTAAAATACATTGTTTTATTTAAACCTATATTTAACCAGGAAAGTCCCATTGAGATTAAACATCTCTTTTTCAAGGGGGACCAGGCCCACCAAGACAGGCGGCAGCATAGAAACACATAGTTACCAACAGAAAACACACAATAATCTATATAATCTAATAATTTACAGATGAAGGCTCTGGTGGTCAGCGTTTCATATCGGATCCAATATTCTGGAAGGCTCATTAAATATTTCTATATCCATATAGATTATAAGGATCCCTTGAGGTAAGCTTATTCCCCTACCTGAGGGACCGGTTTTAAAGCTACTGTGAATTAGGTCAAAGGTTGAGATTGTTCTTTTTTGTTTTTAAAAAAGTAATCTGTTTTTGAGTGAGGAGGTTCTGTAATATCAATGGAATCAGACATTGCAAACACAGGAAGTATCCGAGTACCTCTCCCACGCAGACAGCTGACCTTCTGAAACACAGCGGCCAACCCACCAACTCACCTTCATGTTGCCCAGCCGTCGGGCTCGGTCAATGACCAGGAACTTCTTGATGAGGTCTCTGGAGGGGAAAGAAGCAGTCAGTGAATCCAAAGCTGTACAGTCCGTCTCTTTCAAGGTTCACCAACACTGTCAAAATGACAAATGCCCGCACCCCCCCCCCCCTCTCCGGGGGGCTCTGATAGGTGGCGACAGCGGACTAAGTGAGTTGTGCCTCTGTGTGTGTGTGTGTGTGTGTGATCTCTCTTACAATCTTTTAAATGAACAAAGTGTGCACTTTTTTTACGCACACAGTAACTTTCTGACACTGTAAACTTGTGCATGTGATGTGGACGTGGGGGAGTGAAGATGATTCACGGGGGGCACTAAACGGGCCGAGCGGAGTAGATGGAGCTCAGCTGCCGACAGCTTCGTAAATCCAGCGGCTGGACGTTGAGCAGTCAGCTCTTTTCTTCTGAATCCCTCCTCCTCCCAGACGGGGGCCGCGGAGTGATGTTCTAATCAGCCCAGTTTGTATTTATGACTTTTCAGCTACTTTACCGGGAAGAAATTGTCTGCAATAGACGGGAACAAGATGGTAGAAGCGAGACAGGGCTTCAAAAGGGGGGGCCGCCCTATGTTTGGTGCGCCATGTCTCCACGCCAATTATTAAAGAGCTCCACCCTCCTCTCTTTCAAAGGCGACTTACAATGTGAGGTTCCCCTTTGAAACGGAAACGACCGGTTTGTTATTTTAAACCACGGCTTCCTCATTGTTCTGGCTGAGCGGCACAATCACTCCCGTCCAGAACCAGCCAGCAGACGCTCAGCCAGGGGATTGGATATCGGGACCTTTGTGTGAATCAACCCATCGTATTGAGATGGAATGATTTGTGAATTCAAAATAACCTCCAACGAAGGTTCACCTCCTCTCTAGAACGATGATCTGCTGGGTGAAAGTCCTGCGTTTACTTGTAACAGGATCATTTCATTCTTGGTGCAACTAAACCAAAGACTTGGTTGGGTATTATTCATCAACGTGTCCCAAAGCCCTTTAATAAACTGGTGGATGAGCTTCACCCCTTCATGGGCACTTTTCAAACCGTTCAAACACACCAGTTGTCTCTGAACCAGCTCTGCTGTCGCTGTCTTGCTCGAGAGCACTATGCCAGTATCTGTTGAGAAGGGGGGCTGGTGCTCCACCCTACAGGTGATGCAGAGGCAGGGAGGTCAACACCAGGTCGCCCTGTCCCACAAACCCTGAGCACCCAACGTTTTTTTTTATAAGTGATGACGAGGCTTCGGGGGCGGGGGGCAGCGTGTCACCCTGGGACACCCTGCCATCTTGTCACCGCCGCTGTTGGAGACGCAGCGGGCGGCTTTTCCCTTGGAACTGTGTCACACTGATATCAATGGTGGACATATTAAAAGACTCTTCTGTCTGCTGGCGACCTGTTAGGCTCAGCAGCAGCTCAGCAGTGGGGGAGCGTGGCACCGCTGCCTCATTGGGGGAAGCGGTGTGTGTGTGTGTCTGTTCTCTCTGATGGAGTGAGAGCACGCACACCCGCATGCATACACACCCTCTGAGGCCTTTAATCTCGCACATTCCTGCACCTTACAGCTGGCGTAATGGGTGGAGTGGGCGTGGAAGGGGGGGGGGGGGTTGTCATTAGCGGCCCCGGGTCCACCTGAAGGTCCTCATTAGTTCCAGGGAGCTCATTGACCTCCAGATAAAGGGACGCTGCAGCACTTAAGAGAGCCAATCCTTCCTTTGAAGTATTGATGTTTAAATAGTCATCTGAATAGTGAGGGTGGGGTGGGGGGACAGTTAGGGATACTTATTGCCTGAGTGGATGTCAGACTCAGGTTTAAGCCAAACCCCCCCCTGTGGAGACGTGGTCCCGGAGACCTGGCAGGTTGTTGGTTCTCAGGCAATAAATGAATGAATAATGCGGGAGTTCAAATCCCTTCAGTCAGCGTGGTTACATGGATTCGAATAACCGGCTTAGTTGGACTGAAATCGAATTATCCGTTTCATGTAAACACCTTTGTCCGACTATGTGCGGCCCGGATAACCCCTGGATAACTTGATCCGATCCAGTTGTTAGTTCAACTATTGCGGCATGTGACGGTGAATCGGATGAGGAACTGGACTTGAGATCCCGACGGCGTCTTCTCTCAGTTATCAAATCAGCCAATAGCACCATTCGCATTCGCTGTGCTCCTATTAACATCATGCACAGATAGTAGAGGGATGTAGCTTCACCTTGCTCTCCGTTCGCCATCTTTCTCGTAATGTTGATGTTGTTGTTGTTGGTAGTGGTGAAGCGGTCAAGCGGAAATGGCTGCATCACAACTAGTTGTAATGAAAACAGCGCCACCTATCGTATCGGATATGACATGCTCTCAGCCAATGATTCGATTTATTCACTGCCATGTACATTGGGATAATAGCACTTGCCCCGAAAGAGAGCATAGTCCGACTAAGCAAAGATTAGAATTATACCATTATGTAAACACACTGAGTGTTTACTGATTGAACTCACGCAGCGCGCTGAAAAAACACACACACACACTGGCGGCTCGCCGTCTTACTTGACGTAGAAGTCCAGGTGACGTGGGAACTCCAGCTTTCCCGCCAGAATCTTCTGATAGATTCCAAACGGGTTGTCATCAAAGAATGGGGGGTACCTGTGGAGAAGAACACACGTCAGCCACTGAGACACACGCACGCATGCATGTGCACACTGTGCTCATACAGCATGATGCAAGGACCAGGTAAAGGGAGCAAGAGATTGCACCCCCTCACCTGGAACAATTTGAAGTAAATGGATAGTGAACACGTGGGGAGGTTAGAGAGTGTGTGTGTGTGTGTGTGTGTGTGTGGGGCTATGATAACGTTCTGCTGCAGACAGGGCCGCCTTTGTTCACAGTCCTGCTGGTGATTCTGTGTGAGTGTGTTTGTGTTTCTTCCACCCACAGTCCTTCTGCCGCTGCACTCCGAGTGCCTTCCAAGCCCTTCCCACCCCCACCCCAACCCCCACCCCTGCTCTGGGCAAGTCATTACCCACAAATTACATAATGGGACCAGCCTCTAAATGCATTACGCACGGGGCAGACAGGCGCATAATCGCACTGGTTTGTCTCAAGCCGCTCGCCTCCCCAGTGAGGGGCTCCAGAGTCGGGGCCGTGCACCACAGGCTCCACCCGTGTGCTGTCATGGGGGGAGAATCGGGGTCTTTGTGATGGGACGTGGAGGGAGTGGGACCATCCTGTTTTAAATGTCAAAGTGGAGCACAGGATGAGAACAGCGAGAGTCCCTCACTGTATTAGAATGAAATAGATAATAAGTGTGACACCGGTAATAAAACCACTAAATAATCAGTAAGCAGATCAGATCAGTGAACACACAGGCCGCTTATTAGTACCTCAGCAGTTGTGGTCTTGAAGTGAAACAAATAAAGTAAAGCTGGTCTTGATTCCGAGACTTCACGTCCTACTGAGCACTAATGAAAATGGTGCATGACGTCATGTATGACAAAAGCCCAAACTATCAAAGCCACAATGAGTCCAGTTCATAGAGTTCTGACTTTAGTGCCCCACAGTGGAAGCATCATAAAGTTAAATGCCTTTTCTTTAATGGGTGCCGACCCACACGCTGTTTGTTGGGTATTTGCGTGACTACATATCTTAAAAAAGATGTTAGGAGGGAGAATTCATCCATGGAGTCTTCTGGTATTTGGCTCACTCTCCTGCTAACGTGTCTGATCGGGTTGGACTCGGATCGTACATACATACTAAGAGACGAAGCTCGAAGCTCGACGTGTCACGGGACATGGGCTCTACTCTGACGTTCACATCAGTCTCTCTTCAGGGATTTATGCTTAAAGTTTCCACAGCTGTTAAGAGGAGGCAGTCAGGAGTGAACTGTAAATCGCAACCACTCATCTCCATGACAACGGGACTGTGAGGGCGACCTGCCGTCTCACACCCGCTGGACACAGGACTGACCGGGGGACACGGAGAAGGGAGAGATGGGAATGTTAATTACATTTAGATGAACTCAATCTAAATGATTGGGTGCAGGAATAGACACACTGAATCCCAATTGGGATTAAATTGGGATTCATTGACGCAGCTTTCTTTATTTCATTAACATGAAAGTGACCCTTGGACCACAGGAGGACCCCCCACAACCTGAGCAGGTCTCGGGGAAGGGGGGGGCGGTGGGGTCAGTTACGCACAGCCACATGCATCCCTCATCTACCCTCTAGGATTGGCTCGCATTAAGAGAGGAATCCGGCCCCCAGAGGAAGGATTACGGAGAGAAGACGCAATCTTTTACTTCGCTCTCTTGGCTTCCTCCCTACAGTGGGAGGAGGAGGTGGAGGTGTGGGTGAATGGGGGGGGGCACCGTGACCCTTCAGTGAATGTTTTTTCAACTTGCACTTCACCCCTAGAGGTGGATGACCCGCCACCACCATTACCTTTTCACAGGCAGCTGCTACATTCTTGGATCAGGACCCTCTGAAGCACAGCTACACAACGCTGCAAGATAAAGGGGGCCCTTTTTCTGGGGGGGGGGGGGGGGTCTCACAACGGAGCCCCTCCCTGGGGATGCTGCCGGATGGCAACACTTCAAAGGCCGTCCCAATGAATGCTGGGAGATGGTCGCATTCTTTCCATAAATTCAAAGTCAGGTAGCTTTTGTTCCCAGGATTTAACAGGAGATGAAAGGTGAGAGCAGTAAGTTCTGATCAAAGTATGTGGCCTTTAGTAAACATATACGGGTTAGTTGCCATTGGTCAACGAGAGCCCGCTTGTCTACAGAAATACTGTACACACACACATATACATATATTATGAATATCAATGAACCGCACCAATTGGATCAAACCTCACATACTAAAATGCACGTTAATAATAGAAGCCCTGCATACGGAAATATCATTAGGTCCATATTTATATACTGAATCAGCAAAATTCAAAAAAGCCACCCCACAAACTGTGTGTGTGTGTGATCCTGTATAAAGTGTGCTTCTCTCTGTTGAAGGGACTGAGATGTGTGTCTCTGGTGGGGGAGAGTGCCCCCCGGTGTTTACAGAGGGTGGAGGTGTGGTGGAGGCTGAACACTGCAGGACTTACCCGGCCAGCATTTCAAAGACCAGGATGCCCAGAGCCCACCAGTCCACCGCCCGGCCGTGACCTTTGCTCTGGATGACCTCTGGAGCCAGGTACTCGGGGGTGCCGCACAGAGTCCAGGTCCTGATCACACACACACAGTTTTTATTCATGAGGTTGTCCGTTAGTAGCATTTAGCACTTTAGTTATGAGGTTATCATTTATATCACTTGTTGAGGTTCATAACCACACACACTGACATAAACAGTTTAAAGTGTCATGTGACATCTTCCGTGTGTTTATTATCCATCTTTTGATTTTGCTCACTTCATCTTTTCAACAGCTTACAGGACTCACGATCTACGAGCACTTTGTCACATGTGAGGAGCAGCAACTGCAACCGATGGATTATCAAATGGCAGCAGCGTCTCCTTCCAATCAGTTCATCCATTCATAGAATGTGAGTGTCGGCCCGTCTTTTCTTATTGCCTCCGCTTTTCACAATACAAGCGTTATATCCACAAGACCTCTAAAGGAGAGGAAGCGCAGTACTGGAAACCAGAGCAATTATCCCCGAATGACTCGGCTATTTTAAGGTGCTCCTCCGTTGTTAGTGGCAGGAGGACGTAGCGGTGGAACCGGTCAGCTGCTGTTTGACGGGTCAGCAGTGATGCCTCTGCACATCCCTCATTGTGTGGACAGACACTCCGGCTGCAGACACCTGTACGTCCCATCTAGCTGGGTCACCGTCTGCGGCACCACGCGGTGTGTGGACACAGCTGTACCGTATGCAGCGCTTGGACAGGAAGTCCGGGGCAGCTGATTGACAGCGCGGGACACACACGCACACTGCCCTCCCCCCAAAAGCCACTTGTCCTCCGATGATGAGCACTGGGCCTGGCGCCAGCCTTTCCTCGTCTCTCACCCATGTCACCTGGGTAATGACCTCCTACCGCCGGTCGCCATGGCGATGGTAATTTGTATGGAAATGATGCCAGTCCCGGCGGAAGATGAGGAGGGGCTGCTCTCGTCAGAGGGGACGCGTGTCGCCACTCCTCAGAGTGCCCCCCCCCCCCGTGCTTTTGAGCCGGCTTCCATATTGGAACCGGGGGCTGTCCACCAGCAGGGGGCGCTGTGGGCGTTTGTAGCAATGAGCCGTTGGTCTTCCTATCCAGGCAATTGAGCGGTCTCCATTTCGATAAGTGGGTCACTTGAACATCAGAGAGGTCTCTACTGCCCCGTCTGATTTGCTCCCCCAGTCTGGAGGAGAATGTAATCTTACTGCATTATGTCAGCCGGGGTCAACGCAGCTCAATGCTGGGGAGAAACACTGATGTCGAGCCGTCTCTGCTACTCTGGGATGCATCTCTTCCATCGCTGGGAGGCTGCCGATTGCTGCATCTGGTTCTTGGGCGGTGAGGGGGGGGGGGGGGGTCAGACGTGTGACTGCAGGGGGCTTCTTGGAGCTGGGGAGGTTCCCCTCAGATTCGCAGACAGCCTGAACACGCACAGGACATGAGCGATGCTCTGCTAGAGGCCTCAGGATCCTCCAAAAAATGTTGAATATTTTGTAACATGAACTGGTGCGTGAGGCAACAAGTGGCCAAAGAAAGCGGGATTTCTATAGAGCAGTTCAATGTCTGCATCAACAATTCACAATGTGAATCACGTGGAGCGCTAATGGGCCGATACTGATGAGAAGGGGGCGCCAAACGAGAAGAGGAGCTCACTGGACCCAAACCTGGTGAACTGGGAGTCAAAGCAATTTCTAACTCTCTGAGCGAGACCGTCCCCTCCTCCTGCTCCTCGCCCTGCTAGCTCTCCCTCTCTTGCTCTCCAACAGCTCTGTCTCCTCGCATCACGTTAGTCTCGGCACGTGTGGGAATGGAGGCGATCAGGTGACAGTGAGCCGTGTAGCAGGTCAGCGGAGTCGGCGGCGTGGAGTTGTCACAGACTCATTAGTCTGGACCTTCAGGAGATGGACATCTTAGACATCTTCATCTCAGACCGGGATATGACGTTGATCATTTCGTTCCACCTGATTTTCTGTTCTATGACTAATCCCAAAATATCGCTTTGAATCTGTCAGCATTCGTTCACCTTCCATTGTGTTACAGTTCAAAACCAATTTCACCAGAAAAAACAACAAGGCAAATGCATATAATATTCTATAAATATATGAATGCATATTTTGGGTAGCGGAACAAACATTTTCTTTAATCCTTTTTCTTTCTTTTTTAAACATGAGAGCCCTCCGATTAATCTCAGGGCTGTTAAATATTTCTGTAAATAATGCAATATTGTTGCAATATTTAAAATGTATTATCTCTGCCAGGAGATGCTGGGGTGGATGTGTGACTGAGCCTCTGTGTGCGTGCACATCTGTGTCTCATGACACATGACCGTACATGCCGGTGTCTCTTTGACGTAGACGGCCCCCGATTCGAGCCTGAACACAGCGCTGCCACGATAACTGAGCATAATAAAGATTAAATGCACATTTTGTTCCATCTTCCTCGTACTCTTCTGTTTAACGAACGTATGTCCTGACTTTAATCTCTAAAGCGGGACAAGAAGTCTGTCTCAATGACAAAAGACGTCACTTTAGAATCCTCTTACTTTGTTTAAATGACATGAATGTAGATTATCTCTTCACAGGTTAGGGTTACGGCAGAGGAGAGCAGAATAACGTCTGACCAGGGGGGGTTCAGCACTCGCTTCTAATTTAATTATCATTTCATTTGAGGAAAATGTGCAGGCTGCCTTTTAATCCCTTTAGATTCGGTATGAAACGCCCAAAGAAGAATGTTCTCACATCTGGGAAGCTGGAAGCAAAAACATCTACAGACCATCAACTTCTGGATTCATTGTCGGGGTGAATCTTCACTGACCTCAATGATTCAAAAGCGGGAAAAATTCTTCACAGGGTTACATCTTCATGGACTAAGGCAGGCGGTCCGATGTAGTGCTCCTTACTCTGAATCGGTCACGGCATCTCCAAACAAATCCCCACATTTGGACTTCAGCCGGCTCGGTCGTTCTTTTAGCCTGCACTGAAAGCCAGATTCCCGTTTGAGTTTCACTACGGCCCCTTTCGGGACCAGAAGTGAACACTTCGGCTTCATAGCATTATTAAAAGTGTTTAAAAAACGTTAGTGGTTGGATCTCGCAAGACTGAGCTGCCTGAAGTTAATGTCCTCCTTTCAATCATTGTCTGAATGCTGCTCGTTCAATTATCAACCAGTTGTTGGGCCCAATCACTCAGACTCTAATTAAATGGCTAATGTTGACTCCTTCGTTTCCCCCCCCTCTCCTCAGACTTGGAGTGACCTGTCTGGGCGGAACATTCCTTGAACCTCAGGGTTTGGACCGTTCATCCACACATTCCCGTGTCCCTCTGTCTTCTCTTCACAATCAATCTGCCATGGTGGCGGTTTGGGACGGATTGGGCCCCCCCCCCCCCCCTCCTCACCTGTCGGAGAGCTTCTTAGCGAAGCCAAAGTCGGTCAGGCGGATGTGTCCTTCGCTGTCCAGCAGGATGTTTTCGGGCTTGAGGTCCCGGTACACCACTTCCCTGGAGTGCAGGTACTCGATGGCGCACACGATCTCCGAGGTGTAGAAGAGGCCCGTGGCGTTGCTGAAGCGCCCACGGCTGCGCAGGAAGCTAAACAGCTCGCCGCCCGCCACGTAGTCCATCAGCATGTAGAGGAAGCGCTCGTCGTGGTGGGTCCAGAACCTGAGAAGGGAGCAGGGAACACTTCTTGAATATGAATTCTTGAATGAGTTGATGTCAAATCGGATCGAATAAGAGGCAGCATCCATCTCCGCAGCCATTGCAGCTGGAAGTGCCCTTCAGAGGAATAAACGCTGTCACCAAAGACGGAGCGGGCCCGAGCGCTCGGGCCCGATACGTTCTCGTCTCCTCATTTCAAATGGGATGTGTCATGCTGATCTTCAAGTCCATACTCTTATCGTCTACCAGAACAGCTTCACATGCTTGCATATACAAAAATATAAACATTTTTTGTCCTGAATATAATGGCGGAATCGCATTGCTAAGCAACCGCTTGAGTCAGTGTTTACTTCCTGTCCGCTGATGTCATTTAAATAAAGTGCACTTAGAAATCCAACGCGGCGCTCTGTACTGAAACAATCATGTTGTTCTCTGAAGCAGGTTTCATTTCTGTGTGAGAGAAGATGTATCCTAAGATAGTACTTGTTGCAGTCCACTGAGGATGAAGATGAAGATGAAGACTTTGATGAGCCTTGAGACTGTGGCATAATGCTGATAAAAATAAAGTGTTTAGAATAATACATCGGGAATGTTTGATGGTCCTTTAATGTGTTACAATTTGATGTATTACCATAACTCCCATAAACACTGAAAAAGCTCCTCTCATAATGTGCGTGGCAGTCTTTACTCATAACTGGGAGGACCTGACATCACATCATGTCTGTTGTGCTCCAACAATATACTGACTTGGGTATATTTAACTTCACGAGTCAATACATAATCAGGCAGCATCGGCTTATTTATTACACACCTACAATGTTTTTTGTGGAAAACACCAACTCAAAAGAAGACTCCATTGAAGGATATTTGATGTTCACAGTGAAACTGGAGGAGAATTGTTATTCATAGCTCTTTAAGTCTCCACATTACAGTGGATTTGTATCAGCGGAGAGAATCTATCGTATTATGGAAATTCCGGGAGTGAATTCATTACGGATCAACTGAGGCAGTCAACAAAAAGTGAATACTTCACGTGATCATGAAAAAAGAAATGGTTTAAATCTTGTGCCTCACTTCAATAGGGGATTATACCCGATCGAGAGTCTTTTGATTGCCTCTCCACGGCTGTGATGGCAGCGCCTGAGCAGCCCGCTCTGAGCTAACAGTACAAAGTCGCTAGCTAGCGGGTCTTTCCTTGGGCCCGATGACGTAAAAGTGACGGGGAGAAGGAGCCTGGACTAGGAAAAAGTCGGGAGAAAAAAAAAAAAAGACAGATTCTCGATGAGAAGGAGTGATGAGTGAGGTTGAGCAGGATATTTATGAGTGTCGTTGTAGCTGACAGTGACATAACACATATTTGCAGCCTAGTTTCTCTTCTCCAAAGGCCCTGGCTGGGAAGACGCTACGTCTGCAATTAGACTGTATATCTTTATTATTTCCCACTTTTACTGAGTTAACTATTTGAACATCATTCGATCCGGACGCTACTAATCAAAATTCATTCCTTTTCTGAGTTTGAACCCTTAAAACAGCAGTTTGTTGACATCACGTTTCCCAGTCTGATACGTGAATGATTAACCGCAGTGATTTTGATGCATTGCGTTAACTGACGCGGAGCTCCGTAGAACAGCAGCAACGAAGCCCTCAGCGGATCCCAGGGAAATATTTATGTGCCTGATAAACCTGAGGAGAAAACAGCCACAATCACAACGAACACCTCTTAGCTGCTTTAGTCGTTATGCTAAGCTAAGGCTATGCCTTTCCCTCTCTTCGGTTACCAAGAAGAGACCCACAAGTGAACAATAGTTGAGCTGAGAGCGGAGCTTTGACATAGAAGGGAAATGTTTTCACGAGTCTGCAGGAAGAGCAGTGACCTTGGCTCTCGTTGTCATGCAGCTCATATAATCTACAGTTTATGACAGTGGTTCTCAAACGCTATTCAATTGCATTATTATAGGCGCACACCCCCCCTGTCATCACCTGTCAATCATTGCTGCCTTGCCAGATCAAACAAAGGAGTAGTGGAAGAAGAGAGACACTGATGGGACAGCGCTGTGTATTACATCTTTTTCAACCCAAATGCTTTGCACTGCTTAAGGGGTACTTGGTTGAAAGAAATATTTTGAGTAGATCACTAAAAAAAGATTGAGAACTGCTGTCTTATGATATCCAAACACTTGGTTCTATTTTAAGTTTAGCTTGAATGAAGAGTTGTGTCTTTCAGCAGACCCGAATTTCTCATCTGAATCAATGCGTCAGAGACAAATGCACATGTCCCTGAACTTTGACCTTTTCCAGTAGCCGGCGGCCCGCGAGTTCTGCCCCCGGGTGTGTGTGTGTGTGTGTGTGTATGTGTGTTTGGGGAGGGGGGGCGGACTCACAGTCGGATGAGGAAGGGGTGGTTGACCTCAGACAGCACCTCCTTCTCGTTGTGGACGTGCTGCTCCTGCTTCAGCCGGATCACGTCTGGGATCTTCATCTGCTTCAGGGCGTAGAAAGCCCTGCTCTTCTTGTCCTTCACCAGGAACACTCGGCCAAAGGTCCCTGTGCCTGGCGGGAGAGGGGGGGGGGTTACAAATAAGCGCTGAGCTGCCATGCTTTGTGTATTAATCATGTTTGGGTGTTGTGCCCTAGTACACTTGAGGTAATCGCCCTGCTTCAAACACACAGTAGACAGCACATCCTGACAGATGGCGTGTAGTGTTGCAGCACTTTGGCCAGAAGACTGGAAAAGTAACTAACGTAAATAACTTCCTGTCAGCAGTGACAAACTCGTCACTCAGTGTTTCCCCTTTCTGAATCCTTCGTGGTGCTCTGATGTGAATGGAATGACACAGGCTTTTGGAATAGTTCTTTTCTGTGTGATACAAGCGGCGGCCCGGCTGTTGGGGCGCAACGCATTGGTCTATTGTTTTGTCAAAAGGAAACCTTCCTAATAATCCATTCATCGCTGTAGTCATTTTTCAAATTTAAGCTTGTGAGTGGTGTATTGAACCGAATGTCTCACTGTGGCAGTAAAATGATGAGCGACTAATCAGTATTAAAGATGATCCTTACTAACAGCATTATAGGTATTGGAGCTCATTGGGGATTTGGCTTTGCTTCTTTGGTTATTTAGAGGAATATGTTTTGTGGTGAGGCCAGCGTGATGATAAATGACCAGTGTTCAGTGGCAGCATCGTGCAAACACATTGAGCAAATCAATGTTCAGAATTAAATCATGTGATCATAATTTCACTGGCTTAAAAACTCCTATCCCTGTATTTTGGGACGGTATCCCGGTAAATCTCCCTATTTTTATTTTAAGTAAACACATTCAATCTTCACAAGGAAGGCTGGACAGAATTCAAACAAAGCGAATTCAAACCAACATCCCATGGTGCACCTGGGAGGTTTTCATATCTGTTGCAATGAGAAACCCTTTACTATGGGGCCTCTATCATGACTGCCAGTATTTCTTCCTACTAAATAGGCCTGCTGAGTTACCCTGCTGGAGAGGACCCTGGTCCCAGCGGGTGGACGGACAGGAGACAGACCCCGAGATGCGTGCTGTTTTTTCCCTCCCGTGGTGCTGATGACAGCGCATGATGTCATGGCATGTCGCAGCATCGCCCCATGAAATGCCGTCTGTCTCGTTCGTACTGCTAACAAAGAGCCTTTGTGTGCATTGCTGTTTCCATAGCGACGCGGACACAGCGGCGCTCCGTGGCCGTCACATGATCGTACCTGCGTGAACTACGACCTCTTTGGAACAACCTGTGGCCTCCTGGCAGCTTTACCACTTAACTCTTAGCTACCTTCCGTTACTTCTGCGGCTGTTTTATAACATTTTGGTTTTTAGTGCTACGGAGACGTCTCGTTCAAACAACTGGATTTAATCAAATTGCTGAACAAAACCACATTTTACCAGATTAAATTTGAACACGTCGTGGTAAGTTGTCACATGACTCCTTTTTTCTGAGAATGAAGACACCACCTCCTGCATTTATCAATAAAATAAAGCATTATCCGGATCCTCAGCTAGAAGGCGTCAATATCCACCGTAACGTATTTCTCAGCGCTTCAGATGACTCCCTGCTCATTTAATCGCCTGCCTTCTCCTACAATGCGTAAATCATCTATTTATGAAAACACTAACTTAAATAAACGTTCCAATAGCAATCCTTTAGGAAACGTGGACTCAACCAGCATTGTGACCGTTGAATGAGAACATTAAGAGAGTGAAGCCGTGACTGCTTTCATACCTGGCCAACCACGGTGTGGACTGGGCTTCTAGGAAACGCCTGGCGTAGAGATGTGTGTGTGTGTGTGTGTCAGATAATCCCTGCTTTTGATGTGCACTGAGGCTCTTTCCTCTGATCGAGTTCAAGGCATGAAAATGTCCTCAAAGTGGAGTCTGAAGAACTGAACCTCAAGAAGTGGGAGGGAGAACAAGCCATGGCTTCTGAAGATGAGAGTGGAGGAGCTGAGCTCTCTGTCCGACGACCTTCCCTCTCTGCATAACAATCATGTGCTCATTTTGGGTGAACGGTGAATTTCACCGACTCCTCCAGGAAGTGCGTCCGGATGACAGCCGCTCCCAGAGCTACTTCGGGCTGACCAGCAGCCAGTTTGATGACCTGTCGGGTCGGGTCCGCGCCCGAGTCTCTCGCTTGGACACCAACTAACTTACAGGCGTTCAATTGTTCAATCTGTCTCCGATGAGTGACAGCTTCATAGCGTATATTCACGCTGGCAGCAGGACGGCGGTGGTGACGGGCGCAGCATCTCAACGCTGATTGGATTTTGCAAGACATCGGACGTTTGTTTTTTTGCGTTGTGTCTTTCGCGCCTCCCGAGGAAAATTTGCGTCCGGGTCGTGAGGCCACAACAGCACAACAGCCTCATGATTCCAATGACAATCAAACAGCAGGCAGATGAAGAGCTTTAGCTCATTTGTTCTAGGCAGGAAATCCCGCTCATCAGACAAAATAGCTTGGCAAATTGGATTTTTTGCAGGCGGCTCATAAGCTTGGAGCTTTCTCCCAGCAGCGCGGGATGAGCGCCACTCACCGCCGCCCCCCCCCCCTAAACCCCCTATCCCCCCTTTAAGCTGGGGCTCTGCTGCTCGCGTGTAGCTTTGTGTATATGAGGCTGAGCCAGACGTCTCCAGGAAACAGGCAGCGTGAAGAAATCATTGTGGCACTGAAGACGCTGCTTTGCTACGTTCATATTGTCAAATATCACATCATCCGGTTGGCCATCGATCTTACTACTGGAACATGTTGAACACTAGAATGTGAAAAGGGGGGGCATTCGTTTTGCTCAGACTGTCTGTTTGTAAACAGACAACTTTGCTTTACCGCCTGTCTCTGCAAGCCCCGCCCCCCCCTTAGTCTGCTGCGATGGGCTCACGAGAAGGAGATGGTGCCCCTTTACAGAGTAACTTCCTGTGTCCCCACGGGACCCAGGAGGAGCAGCCAGACGCGATGCTGCTGGCCCATCCGATGCTTCTGTATGCAGGTGGTGAGCCAAACGCTCTCTGCGTGTTGTTGCTTCACCCTGTTGGTATGTAGGTGGTGGCCTTTTTTATTACCTGCGCTCTCACATACACGCCGTCCTCTTGGGAGAGATGACGGTTAATGTTTTGGCACAGCGAGCTCAAGGGAGAGGCTCTTGAATAAACCCGTGACGTGCAGTAGGTGTGACTCCAACGTCTCTCCGTTTGGACTTTTCCAGCCGGTGGCGACTGGCTTCCCAGAAAGGGCGCGTTGCAGCCTGAAGACGGCCACGTGAGCTCCTCTGAGCACCAACGGGGATGACTGATCCGCCATGAACCCAAACAAACACGCAGCGTTAGGACATTGTGTGGCTTGGATCTGCAGATGTTTGACTCCCACTTAAACGTTTGGACTCTCCCTTCGGTACACTGACAGACGTTGGCTTCATGACAAACAGGAGAGAATCTGGTTAAAAGACACATAATATCAATTGTGGTGTCTTCCTTTTTGTCCCGTTGGCAAGCGACCGCGCTGTGAGCAGGATAATACTCTTTGAGGAGTCCATTATGGGGCATTAATAGATTCCTCAGAGGCTTCCATCAATGCCTGACAATGGACCTCTTCGGGTATTATCCCGGACTTAGTCACAATATACAATTAATGTGATTGCCGCTTGTAATCGATTGTGAACGGTTAAGAATAGTGACAATGTGATGACCACGTTAAAGTGCTACCACATGCTAGAATAGACTCGCTATAATAGATATAGAGTTCAAATATAAAAAAGTTAACTAGAAATGCACTTTTCCACAAAAGGAGCCGACACATTTATCTCAATATCCATAAATGAAGAAGAATATGTAGGTTTGAATCCATATGATTGGACCTGGTTTGAGAGCATGTAGGTATAAATCTAATTTAATTATGCATAACCTCATTTATTGTAATCCACGTTAAATCTGAGAATTTATCATTTCATTAAATGTGCAGCATTTAAAGTTTCGACGCAATAACGTTGCATCAATGAAATACAGAAATCAAACCACAAACTTTTGTGATCTCTGACTTTTAGGAAATAGAGGTTTAAAGGATGAAATAATGAATGGTCCAATAAATACAACAATTAAAAGGTTAATACATTATTGTCTAGAACCACTCATGGATTGATTCAATGTCATTTTCTAAGCAAAAATAGAAAGATAATCAATTGGTTCAAGCTGATCAACTATTAATATTTCAGATATTTCGGGAAGAAATTGCTCTGCAGAAGAGTCTGTAATGAATATCATCATTATTTGCACTGGTGGTCTACAGTTATTAAACCACATTACTAAAGTATAGCGGTTTAATAACCAACACAACACAAAATGCATTTCGATATGCAAGGAACCTCTGAATGTCACACAGCAGCCACAGCAGACAGCAGTCCAGCACTGGGGATTCCGTGTGAGCGACGTGTCCCTGAACTCACCGACCGTGGCGATGGTCTCCAGGTCATCCAGGCCGTACATCCGGTTGGTCGGTGCCGCTTCTCCGGCCGAACAGCTGGCGTTGCCTTTGCTTTCTTTCAGAGAGTTGGTCTCACTGTTGACTCCGACTTTAGCTTTGGAGGCCGCCATGTCTCACTGTCGGGGACGAGCTGACGTTAATTGGGTTCCGAACTTTCCAGCGGGGCGCGCGCGGAGGTCATATCACACATTGCTGCATCCGGTCAGTGCATCTTCTTTGTCTAGCGGTGGCGGGGCTGCTCGGCGTCGGACCGGGACGATGTCCACAACGGAGACGTGAGCAGAATACGTAGGAAAAGGGGTTGATTAACGGGCAAAAGGGGGAGAAGCCAGCGATATGGGTGAGACAAAAGAGGCTGGTGACAGGTTCACTTGCCCGGGCGTGCAGTCTCAGCGACGAACAGCGGCTAACAAGCCGCAGGGAGCTACACGAAGATTCACCGCAGCACCGGGGCGACGGACGGGAAGCTCCCGAATAACAGAGTTTAACACCGAATTAAGTTGACGGAACCCGGGGCTTTGCAGGTTCAAGTTCACTGCTTTCCTTGGTGATGAAACGCTACCCAACTGCCACAACAGACCTCACCCAGTAGTTCTTCTGTGTCCACATCAACCAGGAAGCGATTCAGTATCTGTGTCCAAATAGTTTCCTGTTTTGACTTTCAAAGTAAAAGACACGGAGCAGAAAGCGGGCGCTCACTGAGTAAATCACAGTCCCCGATAGACTGCCAATGTTTTCTTTGATAATTAATATGTTCTATACAAAAAGTGAACAAGGATTTTGTTATAACAACGGAACCGAAGCAGTTTAAAAACAATGTTTTGTTTCAAATGATTTAACTTCCGGTATTTTTAGCTGCATCCACGTATCTTGACACTGACGGGAGACAGCGGCTTCATGTTGACAATATGCTGCCAATGAAGGCGAAGCTGTCCCGGGACATTAACCAATAATGTACGAGGAAGGGTGCGGCGATAAAGACCGGTCTGATTCACTCAGCCACCCACGGATAACACGTAATATATAGAGAAATAAAGCGTTTATTCAATGCCATAATATCTGCGAAATTCACTAACAATATTGTTTTATTGAGAATACACTTCACTACACTCCAAATGCAATGAACAATCATTTTGACACACATCCTTGTTACTAAAATGGGCAAATCAAAAAGGCTACCAACCCTGGTGAAACACATTTAAAAAAGAGGCAGCCAGCCATGAAACTGCCACAAAATCGAGTCCACAGACAGTGATATGGTGCATGGTGACCCTTTGACCTTTCAACCAGCCCACATCACATCAAACCACACAAGCTGAATGCCAACATAATGTACATTTCCAAGGACTTTTGTGGACACATCCGCGCTCTAATGGGTGAGCCCTGATGTTTTTGTATCCCTGTATCGGTCATCTCAATCGGAAATACAAAAAGGAAGATAATAACCAAATTAGCAGACTGTCATGGAAGTCAATTTGCTGATCTCACCAAAGCTTTCCAGGGGATTAACCCCTTCAAATGTAGGTCCTTCGTGAGCTTCCATCCTCAGGCCTAAACTTTAAAATTGCACTGGAGATATTTCATGATGAAATGTATGGGAGAAAGCCATTAAATACGTCACATGACTAATACAGAAGCACACTGTAGAGTCACTGAAACCTCTAACGGATTGTAAACGGATGCAGATCTGTCCGTCGGTGTGTTGTTTTTCCGTCTGTCTGCCTGCCTGTCTCTGTGAAGGTCCGTCTGGTGCATTTTCTCTGTAAACAGCCTTCTGCTGAAACAAAACAGTGAAGATGTGCGTTGATGAGCTCTGTGGAGTTGTTGGTAATTCTTTGTGGCTTTTTGTAGCTTCTGTTGGGATGAAGTGTGTTTCAGAACCCGCAAATCATCATTAATCTCCTTTTAAAGAGCCCAGGCTGTGGAGGCTGTACTTGAATACCGGCTAAAAGTGTCTCGGGGGGGGGCCTCAAGACATGCATGCCACTGCCATCAACTTAAAATACTCCTCACTGAGTCAGCTGTCCTCAGTGCTCCGACCTGGCAGAGGAGAGCTGCTGTCCCGATTGGATACCGTGACTGGGGAGTTATTCATTTAAATATGACTCGAGGTGCCGCAGCTCTGCTCGCTTTGAAGTCCTGTCTGTCCTACAAATCTGTATTTCACACCGACATAACTCTCCTCCGGCACGGCATCCACCCTCCTCCGAACTAAATAAATCAGCACAGTTCTGCACATCAGGGCTGTTTAAAAGTCATATAACGTGTAATACAAGCACATTCATTTAAATCAAACGCAATTTTGATTTCCTGATTTGCACATCCCGCGGTTTTATGGTCTGAACCTTCTGTGACTACATTAGCAGCTGCTTTTTTTGGTATTCATGCCGGGGCCTGTTTTTAGACCGCGCGCTGCACGAATGGAATCAAGATGCGTTTGATTGAGAGATGATCAGAGGTGGGCTGACATTTGCACTCGCGTCCTCAAGCTGTGGAAGCCTTTGGCACCCGGCTCGGAGACGCCGCTGCTCTGGAGCTGCGTGTCAAAGTGAAGAGCGGCTTTGGATCGGGTTTCAGACCGGCTCCTTCGGGGGGGGGCGCTTCTTCTCGAGTTATCTCGATATAATGATGTTGACAAAGAATGTGTTCAGTGGTATCAGCTCTCTGCTGTCGTTAGCTAGCTTTGTGAAAGGGATTGCGATGATCAGCGGAAAAGAAGGGATCTCAACCCTTAATTCTGTCACAACACTTTGCACAATTTTTTGACTTTGTAGAAGATCAAATATATATTATTTATTTTCTTTGAAAGTAGTACCTGGATTTCCCTCCTGATTGGTTACGGTTCGGAATTGCTACTACCTGAAGCTTTCCTGAGAAGAAAAGGGGAACAAGACAAACAAAATAACTTCCCCAAAGGCTTTAATAATGCCACAGTACATTATGGATACATGGGAAAAACACACGAATAGGAGCTTCATACAAAGTGAATTAAAAGACTACATTTTCCTAAAGGAAGTGACAGAAAGGAGACGGGGAGCATGCTGGTGTAATCAGGCATATTTTGTTGAAAGTCTTTGGCTCGGGGAGGAGGTAAAGCTACGCAACTAATAATTATAATATAAATATTGTAACTTTTCGCCTGTCTCCGTCTGTTGGCTAGAAAAAAGCTCAAAAGGATCAACGAAGTATTAGGAGTCATCTTCAGGCAATTGGGACAAAAATGTTTGAACCCCTCGTGTCCAATGTGGATCCTTAATCACTTCCCTCTGTTATCTGAAACCAATGCATAGAGGCCCCCTTTACCCGCTGGAGTACAACAAGGAGTGAGGACTTTCACCCAGGGGACCGTTGTTGGTTTCTTGTGGGAAATGAAGTCTTTCTTGACTTATTTTAGGAAGGAATTATTTTACAAGACCTACGTTGTTGCATTATCCTATTCAAGTAGTTCCGATAAAGTAAACCAAAAAAAGAGGTTGGTAATTATTATTTTGATGTCTCTCTTCTTTATTGAGTGGAAAAGGACGCGTTATCCCGGACTGGTCCAAATGTGAAGAGGAAATCCACTGATCTGGTAGTAAGGACGTGTTGCATGGTGGCACTAGGGGAAGGTCGCGAGGTCGCAGAAATAGTCCCAAAGTCATCTTGTGGTGATGATGAATATCACACCGTGTCTGTGTGCACTAGTATCCCTGAAGCATGAGCAACAGGAGATAGAAATGTTATTAAAGTCTGAATAGCACCCAACCGACACGTATTGCTCCATCAGGAGTCATGTGACGCAGCAACGCGACTCCTTTCTGTGGGTCTTTTAGTGCGCTGCCACAGCCATTATCCGTCTCATAAAGGCCTCTCCCATCTGCTGAAGCCAGCCGTACTCTAATATGGTCATCCAACTGCGTAATTTGCCTTCGCACACAGTGCTCCCCCCTCTGACCCCCCCCCCCCAGCTCTCTCCTTCTGGAGAAGTGTTCCTCCTCGTGGCCGGTGTGTTGTCATGGCGATGATGATGATGATGAAGGCCACTGAGAAGTGAGGATGTGGGTTTAATCTGCTTGATATTATAATGGGTAACACCTCGCAATCCTACACTTTGATGAGAAGCCCTGTATTGTCCCTGTCCCTGTCCTCACATGTCCTTTCCCTGTATTCAAGGAGGAATCAGAGAGAGGGAGGGGATGTAAGAGGGACTCAAATGCCTTTTTACGACTGCATAATTGAAGCTTTGAGTAGAAAAAACGTATACCGTGGGGAATATGGTCGGCAGTCATGAATGCAGCTGGTGGAAAAAAGACAGCCTAACTGTGACATGATGAACCTAAATTGGTTTCTTATTAAGGAATAAACGTAGTGAGAAATTAGTTTTAATATACAGGTAAATTCAAATATAACGTGCTCTAGATTATGTGTATTTATCTTCATTCCAGATCGGAGGGACACTTGATATGTAGAAAGGAAGATAAAGATGTGCAAGCTATCTTGATTTATGAGAGATTTTTTTGAGCAAGTAGCTCCCAAAAGATGCAAGATGGAAGAGGATATATCATTTCAATAAGCCACATATTTGGTGAGTATTTTATATATAGAAAGAATGTGAAGTTTACTTAGTAGGGGACCGATGCCTCCTTAGAATTGAATGAAGTCATCAATTTTACAGGGAGATTAAAGATACATTAGCCCAAACAATAAATCATACTGCACTAAATTGTGCAATAATTACGTCAATACTTGATGATCCCCAGTGACGTCTTAGTTCTACAAATAAAATAAATCACGTAATACATGTAAGAAACTAGAGCAAACACGATAGCATAATCCCTATAGCATACCTCCTGTTCCAAAATTATATGAATTTGACTTTAATATTTGATGAAAGCTTGTTAAATAGAAAGCATCTTCCATCAAAATAGAGCCTGTAAAACTATTTATATTTTAAACATTTTTTAGCTTTTTGAAGGGAAAAACTAATAAATCCTATGACCAAATAGAAACTGTCAGGATGTCACAGCCGAGGGAATCCTGGAATTAGGTGGCAGGCAAGCGAGACTTGGTCCAGGTAAAAAATATGTTTTCTTTATTTGTAAAAAAAAGGAAGGTTCCTGATACACGTCTCATTAAACAGATAAACAAACAAACAAAATCGAATTCATTAACTGAATCAACTCCACATAACCTCATCTAACCCGTGCCCTCAGCTACACAGAGATTCCACCATTTTCCCCCCAACAGTCAATGTCCTCCACCTTTTATAGCGCCGTCAATCAACCTGCCCCAGGTTGCACCATGTGCACAATATTTCTGTTACAAAGACATCAAATAAATGAGTACAGGTATTGCAAATAAGGGGTACTGATACTTAGAGATCCATGCTTTTTGACACATTGTGCTTAGAACTGAACCGTTTTTATACCAAACCGTCTTTTTATATAAGTTGCAGAACATTTAGCAAACTTCTATTCCAACATAAATATCTATTATGCGTTTAGAAAGTGAAAGTTAAAAAATACCGTCCACCGTAATACCGTTTAGATTTTATTTAGTTCTTCTATTAAGTCTTTTCTCCATTTTTATCTGTTAAAAAAAGACTTCAATAGGGGAATTTCTTTCTTTAAGATAATCTTTTGTAAAAAACAACTTGC